AAAGATCTCCCAACTTAAAATATGGAAATTTATTTGAACACTCTCTTGGTCCTAACTTGAGGTTTGATGTTGTTTGAGGCTTTCACTGATATTATGATTGTTCTTGCTTGTATTATTAATCGTTCTATTGAGAGGGTATTTTGTCATTCATACTAGCACTATTCCATATGTACTAACGTCCCTTTTGCCGGGGGCGCTACATCTTCAATGGATGCAGGTGGTTCCACAGCAGGAGACATTGATCAGTGATAACGATACACCCTCTTCCCAGTTGACTTGGTGTGCCCCACTTCATTTCGGGGTCATGTATCTTTTGTTCCTTATGTATTGTGTTTGAGGTATAGCCGGGGCCTTATTGCTGGCACTATCATAGTACTCTTTCATATCTATTAGAGGCTCCGTAGACATAGTGTGGGTTGTATATTAGTACTGGGGGGAGTCAAACAAGTTATATTGTGTTTGAATTACTTGTTCCGCTTCAGACTATGAAAATGTGTGTAATTCGAGACTTCAAAATGAAGTAACTAATGGTAATGAATTGGTATTGTACACATGATCCCTTTATTGTCTAATTAACGAAAATATGTATTATCTTTATTCATAAGTGAGTTTGGGTAGAAAGTATCTAACATGCTTGCTTGACCGGGTTCACTCGGTTGAGCGCTGGTCACGCTCCCCGAGTTCAGGGCGTGACACCTAACCCAAACCGCTAGGTAAACCAACAATCACATAATAATAATGAAATTGATTAAACATGGTCTAATAACTCAACAACAGAAAAGTGTCATAAGATATTTGAGAATAAAACCAAAAATGCTACTACAACCAACCCCAAAACCTGGTGTCAACGAGCACTGGTGAATAACAAGGTACAAGCAAAATCCTCTAATACAACTGTCTGAGTGTAAGAACGTTAAGGACAAAGATAACAGAATGAGGACTTCAGGGACTGTAGACGATATAGTAGCTACCTCGTAGTCTCCCGAAAGCTAGCAACAACTCAATCTTGAAAATCACCTCAACCGGATGTACCTGGATCTGCACACGAAGTGCAGAGTGTGGTATGAGTACAATCGACCCAATGTACTCAATAAGTAACAACACTAACCTTGAGTTGAAAGTAGTGACAAGATCAGAACAACAATCCAAATGCCAATACCAATAACCGGTAACAATTCAGAATATAAGGATAAACCGTAGAAATAGTAGTTCAATAATATTAAGTTCAGCTTGTTCACATTTCAGTAATTTAGGCATGCTTTCAAGTATAATAGTTAAAACCCAACACATATAAAGCAGGTCAATTATTAGATAGCATGAGGAAAGTACATCTCTATGCCAACACATAGAGTATACATGTAAATCAACAGTATCATAGTGGATCCATCAAAAATATTTACACTTAGCACTGTATGTGTGCTTGGCATAATTGCCCAACGTCAAGCACATAAATGAAATATTGTGCCTGCGCCTACTACTGGCATATCAGGCTACGGAGGGCGGATCCTACCAAGGCGCTAATTATAATCATTTAGCCCAGTAATGAGGCATGGTGCACGCGTCGCCCCAAAACAATAACACTTAGCCCAATATGGGCCTGGCGTATGCGTCATCTCAAAATGAGTACCAAACCGGCTCTAAGGCCCAAACCTAGTCATTTGCCATTCAGGTCTTAGATAAACACATCTGAAATACTCAGTTTAACAATTTTATCCTTAAGCGGTATTAACATGTAGGGAATCAAATAAGAAATGTTAAAATAGAGATATCATACAAGGATATAGTATCATGACTGGGAACATGTGTGAAAATAAGGTATATAACTCAGAAACAACAAGACTAGCACTATCAAGTCTCAAACAGTTAGCATATAGCTTAGACACGATATCTAGCATGATTCACAGTTCAAATAATCAAACAAGTAGAAGGAACACGGGGGCAACATGATATGATAGCAAAACAAGCCCGGTAATAGCCTAAAGGCCTCCCCAAATCATGTGCACACCGATACACGCACACACGCCAGTCACCTAGCGCGTACGTCACCCCAATATCTTTCATACAATGTAGTTCTCAAGGTTGAATACCCTCAAATCCAAGTTTAGATGTGTTACTTACCTCAAAATATGTAAATCACAACTCCAACAAGCCCTTCTCATGCGTATCAGCCTCCAAATGACTCGAATCTAGTCACAAACAACTAAATATCAACAAATAATGTCGTAGGAAATAACTTCAAACAATAAAGTTTCGATCTTTATCCAAAAATTAAAAAGTCAAAAAGTCAACCCCGGGACCGCACCTTGGAACCCGACAAAATTCAAAAATCCCGGACACCCATTCGATTACGAGTCCAACTATACCAAAATCATCAAATTCCGATCTCAAAGTGACCTTCAAACCTCTATTTTTCATTTTTTGAAAAGTTTCCACAAACTCCCCTGTTTCTTCACTAAATTAAATGCTAAAAATGAAGATGGAATCATGAAATAATAATAAATCTAAGTCAAAAATACTTACCCCAATCCAAGACGTGAAAATTCCTTCTAAAAGCGCCCAAAACTGAGCTCTACAACTCAAAATGTGAAATAATAACTCTAACCCTCGGTTTGAGCTTTTTAAATCTGCTGCCACTTTTGCATAGCCCACCTAATTTGAAAGTAATTAATCTCTGTACAAGGCGATTTCATGCGACTTCAACAAACCCTAATGTGTATCATCGAAATAGCCACAGCCCCGCCGTACGGTGGTGGTAAACCACCAGATAAAACTCAAAACACGCACAATCCTAATGTAGGCACAACCATCACTCCTTCCCCAGCTGCTACGGGTATCAAAGATGGTGGCACAAAAGGTGTAGCAATTAATCGAATGGGTTCCGACGAAAACTCCCAACTCGCGGTTGGGCCAAATCATGGAACTTCAAGCCATGGAGATTGTTCTCCAATTCAAGCATTGTCAACCCCAACAAGTCTCTGTTCAACCAAACTCTGGATTCATCAATGAGGAGTTGCTGCCTCATCAACTGATTGGGAATGAAACCCTAATTCCCCATCCGGCACAAGAATGTGATCTCAACATGACTAAAGTGGTCTCCAGCCAACCAATTTCCACATCAATGCAAGAGCACACAACTAAAGAACATGATGCCCCAGGTGCTCGAGGTAATGTCACAACCAATTCTTCCATCCAACTTGGTGCACAAGGTGAATCTCTATCTTTTTTAAACTAATCGGAATCTAATTCTCAACTTGCAATACAATCACCTCAAAAGACTACAGATTAGCCACCATCTTCAACTGAAGCACAAACCGTGAGGATTAGTTCTAGAACCATTAGTCCTGTTTCTAACATAGCTTTTGAGAATGCCCCTTCCAACTCTAAGGAACCCCCCAATTCAACCAATCAACAAAATAACAACACCCTCCCAAGTCATGAAGCCAACACTACAGTAACACATCATCAACTAAATGCTACACAAGCACATCCAACTCCCACAATTCAAGAAATCCCCAAAAATCAACCCAGTACCACAAGAAATACCCTGCCAAATATCCTCCAACTTTGATAAACCTGAGCAACCTAAGCACTCCAATCAACACCCTATACTAAATCAAACCCCTAGAACCACAAACACCAATACACAGCCATCAGAAACCAACCCCAAAACCAAACAACCCGCTGTCAACCAACCTGCCCCTCCTCCACCACCCACAGTCAAACACTCTTATGTTAACAAGTTGAGGGCAAAACATGAAGCTGAGGTAGAACCAATTGAAGTCACTCCACCTAAGATCACTACCAAGCAAGGTCAACCTGCTGTATCTTCACTGGGGAGGATTACATGGTGAAGTTGGCTGCAAGATGTAAGTATACTATGGTAGGCAAATTCTCAAACACCATGCCCACAATGGAGGCCATCGAAAGACGTTTTGTGGCACAAACTGAATTAAAAGGAGGTGTTAAAATTTCCCACTTTAATTCCAGGGCTGTATATATTGACGTAGATAATGAATATGATCATGTCACTATTTTGATAAGGCAATTCATGTACATTCAGGGACAAATCATGAAGCTGGAAGCTTGTACACCTACATTCAACCCTGATAAAGACTCTCCAATTGTGCCAATATGGGTAGTCATTCCAGAATTACCCTGACACTTTTATTACATGGAAATACTAAGAGGGATCCTTTCTCCTATTGGAAAGGCCCTTCACTTGGATCTAACATCATTTCAAAAGACAAGGGGCAGTGTGAAAGGTCAAAATGCAAACTGATCTGATTTCTAGGTTGAAAATGACACCTTCATGCCTTTGATTCTCAGATTTGGAAGTGCAATGTGGATATTCCACTAGAAATTAAAGTATGTCACTAAGGCCCTGAGCTTATAGTCTAGGAAACAATATGGGATATCTTCCAAAAGCCTAAAGAGTTTGAACAGAAAGTCAAGGAAGCTGAAGAGAAATGGATCAATACTAACAATCCAGTTGATAGGATTAACTTATAGGAGATACAAGCCCAATATGTAAGATATCTGAAGATTGAAGAAGCAATATTGAAATAGAAGACCCAACTTCAATGGTTTAAAGAGGGTGATGCAAATACCAGATATTTTCACAGTCTTATTAGATGAAGAAGAATAAGATTGTACATCCACAAAATCAAAGATGAAGATGGAGATTGGATACAAGGGGATGAAGATATTGGTAAAGCTGCCTGCAATTATTTTGAACACCTCTTTACTGTAACATGGGGTGTTATCAGACAAGATCTTCTCTCACTTATTCCAACCATGATATCCTCTAAAGATAACACTAATTTTACAAGAGACCCTACTATGCAAGAACTCAAGGAGTTGGTTTTCTTTATGAGCCCCAACAGTGCAGCTGGTCGTGATGGGATGAATGATAAATACTTCAAGTCCTATTAGGACATTATCAATATAGATCTCCTAATAAAATTTTGGCTTTCTTTGGGGATAGTACCATGCCTAGGTACATGACTAATACTTGCTTGATACTCCTACCTAACGTGGAATTCCCTAATTCCTTGACTGAATTCAGACCCATCAGTCTGAGTAACTTCATCAACAAGATTATTTCAAAAGTCATTTCCACCATACTTGCAACTATCTTGCCAAGGATTATATCAGTCAATCAATCAGGATTTGTTAAAGGCAAAAGTATCTTAGAGAATATCATGTTGTCTCAGGAAATTGTACAAGGTATTAAGAAGCCAAATCCTGGGGCCAATGTTGTGATCAAACTTGACATGGCCAAGGCATATGATAGAGTCTCATAAGCCTATACCTGCATCACCTTGAGGAGGATGGGATTATGTGAGAAGATTATGGACATGATATGGAGAACTATATCCAACAATTGGTACTATGTCATTATAAATGGTACCGGACATGATTTCTTCAAATCAACTAGGGGTCTCACACAAGGTGACCTTTTGGCACCGGCTCTTTTCAACATTGGAGCAGAACTTCTTTCTAGAATGCTTAACAGCCTCAATCATGACCAATTTTTCAAAGGCTTTTACATGGAAAGGAGAGGTCCACAGGTGAATCATCTAAGCTTTGCTGATGATTTTATCATCTTCACCTTAGGCTATAGAGCATCCCTTCAGAAAACCATGCATATACTGATATATTATGAAGAAACTTATGGGCAAAGAATTAACAGCGACAAGATTCACTTCATGACTCCTTCTTGCGTCTTCCAGTACAATGTAAATAGAATTCAGCAAATCACAGGATTTTCTAGAAAGGAATCTCCAATTAATTACCTGGGATGTCGTCTGTACATTGGAAGGAAAAGAATTATGTACTTTAATGGTCTCATCCCTAAAGTCATAAGCAGAATCAAAGGGTGGCAAGGTAAGCTATTTTCCTATGGAGGCAGGATAACTCTCATCAAACATGTTCTACAATCCATGCCTATTCATTTATGCTCAGTTGTATTTCCTCCTAAACAACTCTAAAGCAGATTAAAAGAATGGCAGCTAAATTTTTTTGGGGTATGAAAAAAGACAAGAAGAAGTATCACTGGGCTTCATGGGCTAAAATGTCCTATCCCTTACAAGTAGGAGGCACATAAATCAAATCCATCCAAGATGTATGCAAAGCTATGGAGTACAAACAATGGTGGAATTTCAGAACTAAGCAGTCCCTGTGGAGTAATGTCCTTATGGCTAAGTATTGCGAAAGGTCTCATCCAGTCTCCAAGAAATGGGACACTGGACAATCTCAAGCATGGAAGAAGTTAACTACTAACAGGAAGGAGGTAGAACAACACATTTACTGGAGGTTACATTCAGGTAACTCCAGCTTCTAGTGGGATAATTGGTTTGGCACAGGCTCACTTGCCAGTAGTAGAACTGGAGGGGATAGACCAGATAAAGTCCTGGTATCTCATTTCTGGGATTCAGGTAAATGGGACCTCCAGAAACTCAATGCCACTGCCCCAGCTCACATGATCCCACGAATTCTCCAAACCACCATTCACTATAATCCACAAATTCCTGATAAAGCCATTTGGTCAACAAACACATCTGGCAAGTTCACATGTGGTTCAACATGGGAAACAATTAGAGACAAGAAGCAGATCACTCTAACCAACAGAAAGACTTGGCAGAAAAAATCCTATTCAAATAGTCCTTCTGTCTGTGGAGAACCTTGAGAAATAAACTCCCAACTGATGATATGATTATTGCTTTTGGCAATCCCATTGACAACAGATGTGGATGCTGCAGACAACCCCAATGTGAATCCATAGACCATATTTTCAGCGAGGTCCTCTTGCCAAAATTGTATGGAAAATGTTCTCAGGCATCACAGGGATAAATACCGATGATTTACCTCTTAATATGCTTCTAATGAAATGGTGGCTCTATAAAAGCAACAATAAACTTCAACAACTACTGCTGGATACAGTTCCCATCATTGTCTGTTGGAATCTTTAAAAAAACAGATGCAGTGCTAAGTATGGGGGTAAAACTTCTTCTATGGTTAGAATTATTCTTGTAATCAACTCAGATATTCATATACTTCTCATATACAAACATCCACACATAAAATAGCCCCATAAGTGGATTGATCTGTATACCATGGTAGAAAATCTGAAACATATTACCACAACTGTTCTGGTGAGGTGGCAAAAATCACAAACCAATTTTGTGAAAGTCAACATTAATGGTAGTGCACTTACTAACCTTAGTAAAATTGGAGCAGGAGTCATAGTGAGAGATCACCAAGGCCAATTCATGCTTGCCATATCTTGTCCACTTGGTGAGGGCACGAATAATCTAGCAGAAACATAAGCAGCTATCATTGATGTCAAATGGTGTGTAGCCAATGGATTCACCAAGATTCAGATTGAAACAGACTCCAATCTCCTCAAGCAATAGCTAGATAGAGAGAGTGTAACCCCCCGGAACTTGGATATGCATATGCAGAAACTCAAGGATCTTTGTCAGTAATGTGAAGTCATTACAATTTCACAAGTATACAGAGAGGCCAATTACCCTGCAGATTCTCTATCTAAACTTAGTCATATTCTTGCATTACAAACATATTTCTACTACCTGTGGGAGCTCCCCACTCACATTAGGGGTCAAATCCTTTTAGACCAAAATGGAACCCTCTCATTTAGGCCTAAAAAGACTATTAAGGTTCATTTCCCTACACAATTCATAGCCAATCATTCCAATGGTTATGATTAAAATTGTTTTCAGGGAGGAGCATGCCCAATAGTCCAAATCACCTTGATCATAGTGTCTCTGTATGTGATGCCTACTTTCAGTTGGTGGTTCCACAACACCAATGGAAACACAACAACATGCTCAAATCCAATTGGAGAACAACATAAATGAATATTTTCATAACTTTTCTACTTTTTTGCAGGATCTTTCTCCCAGTGATTTGTTCACTCTTCTGTTACCTTCTTAGTGTCCACAAAATCCAAACACCAACACATACACTACATCTTAACCTTCTACCCTTAACTCATTTCATCTTTGCAAAATCAATAACAATCATATCCATACTACTGAACTACATCTTCTAGATAAACCAACACTTCAAACCCCTCTGTTTATTATCTCATCTATGCCCCTACCAGCTCTCAGAAACCACAAGAACCTGAGAGCATAGTTTCAAATCCACACACAGAGTCCTGAAAGTAGGGATGCACAGTTTTCACTAATTCTATTTTTCTTTTTTGTAGGTACTTATTCTAATGTCATGTTTAGCCTATTGGTATATCATCAGTGTGTGGTATTAGTATTTTTAATGCTCATTCTACTGAGGATATATAAATGGCTCAAAGAATATCATCACAATAGTCTCAATTGGTTTAGCTGGTTCAATGGATTAACAGTTATGCACCCAATGCTAGATGTTTTAACCAAATTTCCGTAATTTGGAAAATCTGAAACAGTCTTATCCCAACAAGAGACCCCTACCTTTCCTGACAGGCTTGGTATCAGCAAATTGAATTTACATAAATCTGCATCCCAAATGTGCAGAACATATGATCCTTTCTTTACAAGCACTCAGCCATAAAAAGCTCACCATTTATCCTCCGTTTTCATGGCAAAAATGCAGCAGATCCCTGACCGCATGTCCCCAAAACTGGAGGATTTACATCTGGCAACATCTCTAAAAGCAAAGATCATGGAGTCACTTTTTACACTAATTTGTTTGTTTCTTTGTGCAGAGGTACTATTACTCCTGATATGTTAAACCCATTGAGGTATTCTAAGTGTGTGGTATTAGCACCACTAATGCTCATTCTGCTTAGAGTACATCAAAGGGTTCAAACATACCAAACATCCGTCAAACCCATATGTTTACATCCAAGAGGCAACCAAATGGACACATTTAGGGGCTCACACCTAATGTCCTTGTTACACATGCCCACTCATTCACCCATATAGAAAACAATTGTTAATAGAGCATCTGTAACACATGGTGCCAACTGTTTCCATTTTACTATGTCTGCAGCTACCTTGCCTTCACAAACCAGACAGAAACAACCATCCTTAGAGCCCCAGATCACTCACATTCCTAGAAGTTCTGCACCAGTGTTTTGAACGCTGCATTATCACCTTTTTCCTCATGTTTCAGCACCAATATCAGCAATAAAAATGAGGACACTGTCTTGTTAATGCTGTTCCTTGTTTTACTGATACTTAATTGCTCCATCTCTTCTATCAAATATTCCCTGAAGCTTCACATATCTATCTTCAACTTGGCTCTTTTAGAATACTCTGGTAAAGCAATGTGGAAGATAGACTATACCGGCTACTGGATTGCTCTCCTTGGATACTTGTACATCTGTATTTTGTCACCTTTCCTAAGCAGTGTTTTTTCACTATTTCGAGGTAGAATTTTTTGTAAATGGAAGGAGTCCTTCCAACTACCTCACATAGTTAACTTTGGTTAACTTTTCCGTATAGTTGACCTAGGATCTCTTCAACTTGTTTTTGGGATTACAATTACCTATCACTTGTGGATAGACAATTGCTTCATTCACATAGGTCTAACTTCAACTAATTCACTAGACCCAATTAGTTGTCATATTTGGACGATCAAGTGGAGATCCATCATAGTTTCAGAGGTAAGGTCCATGTCCCCCTCCATTGTTGTACTTTTTTTTATGTTATATCTATAAAATCTAACCTTAGGCATTATGTCTAGTGGAATTGAAAAGAAAAAAAAATTTGCTGCCCAAGTTCTCCTCCTCGTGAACACATAAAATGCCTCGCGTTTGCGAAGCACAAATGGTTCCATCTGACGAATTCTCCTACGCGAACGCGACAACCCCAGTCGCGAAAGAGATATCCAAACACCTTAAAGCCACGCGATCGCGGTCCAAGTCTCGCAACTGCGAAGAATAAACATATGCCACCCCTGAGCCTTACCTCCCTCCTACGCGAACGCGACACACATCACGTGTTCGCGATGAGAAACTAACCTCAACCTTCACGAACGCGTCCCCTGTCTCGCGAACGATGCACAAATTCCACCAATCACCAAAAGACCCTTCACGATCGCAACCCTTCCCTCGCAATCGCATATAAGGAAACTAGATACCAAAAAATCAGTAGTCCAACAAGTCCAAAATGAAGCCAAATTTGATCCGAATCACTCCCGAGCCCCCCGGGACCCCATCCAAACATGCCAACATGTCCTAAACACGATACGAACTTAGTCGAAGCCTCAAATCACATCAAACAACATTGAAATCATGAATCGCACCCCAATTCAAACCTAATGAACTAATGAGCTTCCA